CCGAGTCCCCGTACGGCCACCCGGCGGGTGAGCGCGGCCCGGGGGTCGCGGCCGGCCCGGGAGGGTCGGGGACGGGTCGGGGAGAGGCCGGGCGGAGGACCGGGAGGGTCGGGGAGAGGCCGGGCGGAGGACCGGGAGGGTCGGGGAGAGGCCGGGCGGAGGACCGGGAGGGTCGGGGAGAGGCCGGGCGGAGGACCGAGCGGAGGACCGGGAGAGGCCGGGCGGAGGACGGGGAGGACCAGGAGGACCGAGCGGAGGACCGAGCGGAGGACTGGGAGAGGCCGGGCGGAGGACGGGGAGGGTCGGGGAGAGGCCAGGTGGAGGACCGACCGGAGGACCGGGAGAGGCCGAGCGGAGGACGGGAAGGGTCGGGGAGAGGCCAGGTGGAGGACCGAGCGGAGGCGGTCGGGGAGCCTCTCCCTCCGTCGGGTCAGTCCTGCTCCCCGCGGGCGGCCCGGCACCCATCTTCGGCTCGCGGGCCCGGGCGGCGCGTCCCCATCCTGTCGCGGAGGTCTGGCGCGGGCGGGGGCCGCGGGGTGCGGACGGTCGCGGGGACTTGGGGTGCTCAGGGCGGGCGCGGGCGGCGCGGGAGCTCCGGGCGGCGGCTCTGCGCGTGGGTCGAACGGAAGCGCAGGGCGGGCGCGGGCGGGCTGGTCCGAGGCGAGGGTCCTGGTGTCCGGGCTCCTCGCCTGCTGGACGGGCCTGGGGGAGCGGAGCCCAGGTGGGCCCCGAGCGTCCGGCCTGGCTGGCGGAAGGAGCCCCCAAGAGAGCGACAGGACAGGGGGTTTCAGGCGAGCGGAGGTCCAGGGCGGCCCGCAAGGGGGTCCCCGCCGAAGTTTGCGTGTTGAGAGCTGGCGCCCAAGAGAAGACGATGGACAGGGCTCCCAGGAAGGGCAGGCAGGGGAGAGGCCGGGCCGTGAGAACCCAGGGCAGAGGGGACAGCTGGGCCGCGGCTGGAGACCTGCCCGTGACACCTGCCAGCCGCGTCTCAGGCCCGGGATCGCCGTTTCCTAGAGACTGTGTCGCTGCCTCCTGGCCGCGCAGTTTGGTTCCCAGAGCAGGGGAGACAGCCCAGGGAGGGCAGTCTTGGTGTCGCTGACCTGCCAGCTCTGGGCAAGCGCTGCCCACCTGAGAAGGCTGGAGGAACTCCTGGGCCCAGAGGCCTAACAGGGAGACGAGCATTGTCAGAGTTTGGAAGGGAGAGGGTTTGACTCCACCCGGTGGAGGGTACAGGGCACCCCCAAAGGACAGGCCGCATAGGGACGAAGGGGGACGTAAGGAGAAAAAGGTGTCTGTAGTGTCTGGGACTGCTGAGCAGGGGAACCCAGGACACACCAGCAGCTTAGCGGAGTGGTCACCTGGCAGCAGGGTCCCTGCGGTTGGGGGACTGGGAGAGGAGACAGTTTGGGAGAGCAGCTGAGGTGACCGGCTTGAGCTCAGGATGAGAACCTGGATTCATCCTCAGCTGCAGCGCCTGGAGGAGTCACTTGCCATCTTGTGACCATGTGGATTCTGCCTCTGTGGGCTGGGTGGGCCGGAGAGTCCATGTGCCTGACTGCTCCGGGTCTGCCGCTGTCCGGCCCTCACGCTGGGTAGCACGGCTCTGACACTGCTGTCCAGTGCAATGCCTCGAGCCACATGTGGCTCCTTAAGTTTAAAGTAATTAAAATGAGGCTGGGCACGGTGGCTCACACCTGTAATCCTAGCGCTCTGGGAGGCCCAGGCGGAAGGATCGCTCAAGGTCAGGAGTTCGAGACCAGCCTGAGCAAGAGCGAGACCCCCGTCTCTACTAAAAATAGAAACAAATTAATTGGCTAACTAAAAATATACAGAAAAAATTAGCCAGGTATGGTGGCGCATGCCTGAAGTCCCAGCTACTCGGGAGGCTGAGGCAGGAGGATCGCTTGAGCCCAGGAGTTTGAGGTTGCTGTGAGCAAGGCTGACGCCATGGCACTCACTCTAGCCCGGGCAACAGAGTGAGACTCTGTCTCAAAAAAATAAACAAATAAATAAAGTAATTAAGATGAGATAAAATTAAAAGTTTGCACTGGCCACGTTTCAAGTGCTCCCGTAGTGGACAGCAGGGATGTCGGCTTTCCACTGTGGTGAAGTTCCGGACGGTGCTGCCCCAGGGGTTCAGCTCTCAGAGGGCAGGAGCTGTCTCTACAGCCGTGTCCTCAGCATCTGGGCTCGGTGAAGGCTGGACCAGGGAACAGGTACAGGAACAACACACTCAACAAAATGCAAGCCCAGAAAGGGCGAGGTGCTTTAAAACCTGTGTTTTATGAGAACAGACCGTCGGATGTTCCACGCTATGGTGGATGGGTGACATGGGGCAAATCTGAGGAGGGACGTCGACAAGATGTCTGTCACACTTCCTTCTGGCTGGCCCGGCAAAGGCTCAGATGCTGCTGTTGTTGTCACTGTTGTCCTATGCGGGACTGAGGGCTACCAAAACCAGATAGTTAACGCTTTCCTCTCAAGTTTTTCCCTAGACATCGGGGGTTTAGGCTAAACAGACACCCTTGTCACCTTGGCCTAAGACACTGCAGAAAAGAGCTAGTGTCATGAACATACCCCTTGTGGGTATTTGGTTTTTTTTTGTTTTTTTTTTTTGAGACAGAGTCTCGCTTTGTGCTTCAGGCTAGAGTGAGTGTCGTGGCGTCAGCCTAGCTTACAGCAACCTCAAACTCCTGGCTCAAGCGATCCTCCTGCCTCCAGCCTCTAGAATAGCTGGGACTACAGGCATGCGCCACCATGCCCGGCTAATTTATATATATGTTAGTTGGCCAATTAATTTCTTTCTATTTATAGTAGAGATGGGGTCTCACTCTTGCTCAGGCTGGTTTTGAATTCCTGACCTCGAGCAATCCGCCTCGCTCCCAGAGTGCTAGGATTACAGGCGTGAGCCACCGTGCCCGGCCCCTTGTGGGTTTTTGATTTACCGAGTATCTGCTCCAGGGTAATGGGAAGATATGATGAAATAGTAAGAAGTTGGGATCATTATGTTTTTATGAAAAAGGACATTTGCAGCTTTTCCCCCCTCCCCTCCAGCCACGCTGAGTTACGAAGCCCAGGCTGCTGCTTTGACATTGCTGGGGTTTATACAGTCGCTGTGGTTACCATAGCTGTGACACCCACGTTGCTTCAGATTAATTCACATCTAAGTGGATCCGGTGCTCACTGAAGTCTTTGTACCATTGCTCTCCCTCCTGGTTAGCTCAAAGTCATTACCATCCTTTCTCCAGGAGGGACTCATGTCCGCTGTTTTCATGTCTGAGTATGTCTGTTGTCTTTACCTTTAAACGGTATCTCGGCTGGGTATAATATTCTTTCGTTGTACTTTCTTCCCCCAACACTTTTTAACTATTGTTCCACTTCACCGGCATATAACTGTTGCCGTGGTGAAGCCCCGAGTGCTGCTGATTTTTTCCCCCATGTCAGGTGATTTGCCTTTTTTTCTTCATGGATTTCTGAGGAATTCTTTCTTTTTGCCTCATGGTTCCTTAGTTCAACCAGACCAGGTCTCAGAGTTAAATGTTTTGTGTTAAACTTATGTTACACGATGGACTCTTTCAACTTCCTGACATTAATAATTATTTATTTTATTTATTTTATTTATTTTTATTTTATTTTTGAGACAGAGCTCACTCTCTTGCCCAGGCTAGAGTGAGTGCCAGTGGTCAGCCTAGCTCCACAGCAACCTCAACTCCTGGCTCAAGAATCCTCCTGCCCAGCTCCAAGTGGCTGGGACTACAGGCATGCCGCGACGATACCCGGCCATAATTTCTCTATTATTAGTTGTCCAATAATTTATTTCTATTTATAGGTAGAGACAGGGTCTCCTCCTTACCAGGCTGGTTTGAACTCCTGATCGAGCAATCCGCCCGCCTCGGCCTCCCAGAGTGCTGGGATTACAGGCGTGAGCCACCTCGCCCGGCCCCAACTCCACTTGGAGGACCTGCCATTACACTGCGCCCACTCAGATAAGCTGGGGTGACGTCACTGTCTTAAAGTCACCTGATTAGCAACCTTAATGCCATTCCCCTTTGCCATGGAACTGACATGTTCACAGATGACTCTGGGGTTAGGACATGGGCATCTGTGAGGGGCCATTATTCTGCCTACTTTGCCAGTTATCCTCATGTTGGACCGTTTTTATGTCTTCCTCATCCCCTCGTGTCTCTAATTGCTTTAATCTTTTCACCTTTCTCTTCAGAATCGCTGTGATCTATCTCAAGCCTTTTCCATTTGTTGTTCATTTTGATTTTACTAAACTGTTTGCAGCTGTTTCTAATTTATTTATTATAGATGTTGTTTTTTTGAAAACTAATTTTTTTCCTCGTTTTGGAATTTTCCTTTTTTCAGTTCTTAAAAATTTCTGCTGCAAATTTGTTTCATTTTTAAAAATCTCTGAACTTGTATTTTACCAACTTGTTTTTATTTTATTTTATTTATTTTTTTAAAAAAATATTTATTATTTATATAAATGTTATTAAATTTTTGTTCCTGTAAATTGTTATTAATCAGAGAAGCAGAGGAGTACTAACTTATTTTTATTAATTTGTTCTATTGCACGAAGTAATCAGAATGGACTTGCTCCTGTTTATTGGGTTATGTTTTCTGTTAGGTTGAGCTCTTTGTCCTTTTTTTCCTTTTCTTTTTAAACTTTTTATGGAAGTTGATGTACATACATATGGGAAGGTATACATTTTGTAATTGCACAGCGTGATGCATTTTCACAGACCTGACACACCCATGCAACCAGTGCCCAAAGCAAGGCCTGACACTAGCAGCCTCGTGGACCCTGCTGGTCCCCTTCCGGTCACTTTGCACCCACAGGTGACCCTCCTTCTGGTTTCTGACAGTGTGGATCCGTTTTGCCCGTATCTGCACTTCAGAAAAGTAGAATGGTGTGTGCTCTCTTGTGACAGCTTCTCTTGCTCCCAGTATGTGTGTGAGTTTCTCCCGTGTTGTGTGAAGCTGTGGGTGGTTTATTCTCACGGCGTGTGATATCCCTTGTATTA